CTGTATATCTGGATTCTACAGATTGGCTTGGTGGTCTCCTGGTGTTTCTACAAAACAGCGTCAGTGGCTGTTCATTTCTTGGCTGCCTGACCGATATGAAGGATTGCCGTTCTATCAGCACTCGGACATTTGCCTTGAGCGAGCTGGAACTCGGTCTGCAAGCGGTTCTGCTGAGGGTCGCGGGCCGGCTGTGGTTCCTGGACTTTGCTGGCCAGATGGTGATCTTGGAGAAGTTGATAGCTTGGCTTGGCGGGATTGTCCACATTATTTGTCTGATTGGATTCACCACATTGGATGTACCAGCAGACATTAAGGCAGATGGAAAATTATTGTCTGCCTGACCAAAACCATTTTCTCTGTTCCCAAACAATTGATTACAGATRGTCTCCCCCCACGCTGACCTTGAAGGCTGTGGATCTAATTTCTCCTGGTGTTTACTTTGACTTGTGCCRCCCTCCCCCATCAATCCCATCTGTAATTCGATCCCTTGAAGGACAACCTGAAGCTGCACAGAATGAACAATTCAACACCAATATTCTGGACAATGGCTGAACAATGTGAGTTAATCTTTTGGGGACTGGATTCTTCAGACTCATTCTTCAGATATTCATACAAGTGCATACAACACTCATGTTTTCAGATACACGCCCTCTAAACTCACTTACTCCTCTGGTTAATAAATGTGCTCTTGCTTGTAGAGTTTTTTTTATAAAACACCACAGTGTATCATATTTCGTTGATGTAATATGATGTTTTGTTTTTTTCTTTTTKAAGGTAGTGTGACCCCTGCTGGTTGCTGCATGACCTGATCACCTGTTCCCCCATGTTTTTGTCGRGTGTGTCTTCTTGAATGGGTGTTCTTAAATGTAATTTTATTGTGCTCCATACAATGACAATAAAAACATAATCAATCAATCAATAAATCAATCAATCAATCAAAATGGCAGTTTAGAGCACTACAAACATTCACAAGTATAAAGTGACATAGGTTGATGGCTCAATAAGCTTCTGTTTCCTCCCTACTCAACAWGTTGAACACAAATGGGTATTGGACCATTACTTGTGTAAAGACTTTCCTCACTACATTAAAGCAGTCAGGCTGCAGCAGGAAGGATTCATTCCTTCACGAGCTCTCCCTCTGACCGAGGCTTTAGTTCCTTTACTATTAATTCACTCGGGGCACAACTACTAACTTCCTGAGGTGTATGCGAAGACATTGTCGCCCAGCACCCCCCCCCCCCCCCAGCAGTGGCGCCTGCACTTCAGCAACAGTCCAGTTTTACTGTGCTCTGTATCTTACACATGGAGTACCTGAAATGATCCTTAGATTGTTTCATATTTCAGTGGCATTAGAAGTATTCATGGGGGTCCCACTGGTGGGGGTCTGGGGGTCCTCCCCCAGAAAATTTTGAATTAAGTAGATGCCATCTTCTGCACTCTGGTGTATTTTAACAGGTTGTTAAACAGACTGCAGAAGTAAACAGTTTCAGTATTCCATATATCAGGTGAAATGAATTTATTTGTTCAGCAATAGAAACACTGGTTGAAGTAATGTTTTATGGTAAATATGGGGGTTCGGATGAATTAAAATATAAATGTGATGGGGACACTTCCACAAAAATGACTGCTGTGATGCCTGTCATTTTATTTAAAAAAGTCAAAATATACATTTTAAAAATGTTTAAAAAGAACAAACTTTCACAATTTTAAAGCCACTTCTTTTATGTATGTTAAATCAGTTTTATGTGCTTGTTGATGTTTACTTTGTGAACAAAAACTCTAATTATAAATAGGCAAAACTGGAAATAAAGACTACTTCTACTATAGTATTATCCTAAACTATTCATTTATTTGCTTTTTCGTGGCATAGTTTTAATAAATATAATTTTGGTCTGTGACAGAAAACTAAAGTACCTGGAGAAAACCCACTAACGCACAGGGAGAACATGTAAACACAAACCAGAAAGTTGATCTAGATTCATGCACTTTTAAAATACAGTAAATCTATTTTGGACTTCTATTTTTTGTTACAGATTACAGCATATTAAAGAAATTTAAAAAAAATTAAACCCATGTCTTTTGTACTAACCACTGTTATTTCTCATTTTTGTAGCTGATAAATATCAGTTATGTAGGCTAATACAAAAAGAAACATGGTGAGTGACCCAAGTTCTATTATGTTTATAGGCTTTATAATTCACCACAAACAACATTTTAGGTCTTTATTTTGCTTTTTATTATCTTTTATATTGTATAGGCCTACAGCAAACAGATGCAACAACCTGTCATTTTAGGCTGAAGCTAACATGAATATTTACAACCCTCCTGTTGACACACTGACATAACTTACCTGCTGTCTTTCAGCACTTTGAAAAGCTTTTTTTCATCCCTCCATCATCTTTATCCCTCTCCCTCCAGTTTTCTATTTTGTACCTCTGAGAGCTTTTTTTTCCGCTGCTCCATCTTTAGCTCCATGTTAACAAGTGCACCATGATTCAAATGTAAAAGAAGAAAGAACGCACCTGAGCGTGTTCTCAACGGGCTGCGAGCGCCACAGGAGGGGAGAGGCGCTCATACATGTTAAGTTGGATGAATTGTCTGTAATTTACACAGACTTTTCATCATTTTGGAGGCATACAGACATTTAGAGCAATCTCACAGATTTTTTTCATATTTTACAGATTTTTTCAAAAACTCATTTTAAAATTTAACATTTCAGATCCTGTGGGGCATAAAAAAACAAATACAAATAACCAGCATCCAATCTCCAGTCTAGCTCTGCTGCTAGAAATAAGTTTCCCTGTCCTCATGTCCTCCTCAGCTGCTGTCATCCCCGACAGTCAGCCTGCACCCCCACCCCCACCCGCGTGTGATTCATAAAGATTTTTTTGCACAAATTAAATATTTTTGAGGCTCATTAAATAGGTAACCCACTGAAGGGGTTGACATGGGTGCCTAATCAGTGCCTTTCCTCTGTTATTGATCATTTCATTCATGCACAAACTGCTGTTAAATTAGAAAATGCCGACTAGAAAAAAAACTCCACACTGTTTTGGCGCCCCCTGTAGTGCAGTACCTCTATGCGTTGCATACAGTGCATACCCACTTTCTGCACCACTGAATTCACTCCTCATAAAGTGGTCTCCATTACTGTGGGGTCTTATAAACACTGCCTCTTGTGCCTCTGAACTCCAAGAGTAGTTTTTATTGGTCCTGTGACTTTCAGCTGCTCAGGTTTACTGGTCAAATCCTAAACCAAARGTTTGTGTTTTACTTTGAAAACTCAAATAATCAGTTCGATTCTTCTTCCAAAGACTGCAATGTTCAGCAGTCACTTTTATACCGTGATGGACATCTGTCAGTCAACCTGACACCTCATGTTGTGTTCACTGATGCTGAGCCTGGCTCTGATACTTTTATRATTGTCAATTTAAATACGAGAAGTAGCAGAAATCTTTTTGTTTGTCAGTCCTATTGTTTCCTCCCAGTTTTAAACTTTTTACAATTTCTTTAAATTCTGGGACAAAAGGGATTTGAGGGCCATATAAGCTTTACTCTGTTCACTGATGCAGCCAACACTTCTCAGGAATGATCAAAAGTAAAGAAAAAAAAAAGACTGAACAAAATGAAATTTCAGACCTTGGATGAAAATTTGGGCATTTTAAGACTTTTTTTAGYCCTAAAATTTTGATTTTCAAATTTTAGACTTTTTTAGACTTAAGAGCCTGCATGAACCCTGTCAGGGACAAAAACACGAGTAGTGACTTGTCAACYATGTGTCAACAGCAGACTTTATGTAAAAAGTAGTAAATGAAATGAGACAGAAGAATATGAGGTTTTCAGTAACCTGGTGTGGCACCAGTTCATCATATCCTCTGGTGGAACCAGTAGCGCAGCAGGCCATGGAGACAARAGCAGAACTGGGCAGAGAGTCGAGCGCTGAGCGGAGCTACAAAACACAATCCAACAAGCAGTTAAAAAATAATGAAGCTGTTTTTGTAGAAATGATCAAACAAAATGTAGTTTAATGGCAACACCTGAATAGGGCACTCGTTATCATGGGTCACATCAAGGAACATAGCATGGGCTATGGTGGGCATCAAAGGTCGCAGGCTAGGCTGAACAAAGGCTCCTACAGGTTCACCACCGTAACGATAGACCAGCCGGCCCTCCTCGTGACTGTCACCAGCTGACATGGCCTCTGGAAACACCAGAAACAATCAGCTACATCACAACTGCTGCACAYACCATCCAGCTTCAGGCAGCTGAGCTTCATTCCAACAGCAACACAAGCTGAAAGCTGACGGACAACACAAAGTTATCAGCARACAGACCGGTGCAGTTATAACTGAAATATTTTAAAAACCTTCTGTTCAAATGCTTCGTTATAGTTGTGTTTGACAGAAAGTCTGAGTAAAACAAGTTCTATTTTTTATTTATGTAATGCTGTGAAAAAAATGTTTCATTACAATGCAACTGTAATATGTATTTAAAATGGCTTTTTTATTTGAATTAAAAGATATAAATAACTAAATTCATGTATATTTATTTATTTTTAACCATAAACCTTTGAAATAGCTTTTAAGTCAAAATCTTAACAGCAACATGATTGTAATTCTAGACCAGTCTCTCAAAAAGCAAAGTGGTAATTATCGTGTCAAAGTTTATTTTACCACTTTATCTACTGATGTCTGTACACAGGATTGATTTCTGGAAGTATAATTGATGACTGTACATGATTGATGTTTGTATACAGGGATTAGGGCTCCAAGATACTAAAAGACTATTTTAATGTGAAATATTGTTGACTATTACTGTAATCAAGATATCCATAATGATTAAAGCCACACGGCCTTGTTTGTCATCACTACTATGTAGAATGTGGTGTGGTCATCAAGGCCATGTCAGTGTTGGGTTAACAAAACACACTGCCTGCTAGACTTGTTAAGTAACTAAGTACAAATACTTTGTTACTGTACTTGAGTAGAATTTTTGTTATCTGTACTTTACTTGAGTAATTATATTTCAGTGTACTTTTGTACTTTTACTCATTACATTTTTACACAATTATCTGTACTTTCTACTCACTACATTTTTAAAAAGGTAAGAAGTATAAAGTTGTTACTCCTGTTTTATTCTGAGTT